TCAGCATATTAGAATGATTTCTGAAGGATCATGCGACACTGAAAACTGAAGAAATGGCTGCTGGAAATTCAGCTTTGCCATCGCAGAAATAAATTACATTTGAATATATATTCAAATAGACATATTTTGCTATTTTAATTATTTGTAATAATATTTCACAACTTTGCCATTTTACTGTATTTTTGATCAAATACATACCATCTTCTTTTGAAAGCATTAAAAAAATCATACAAACCCCAAACTTTTTAACAGTAGTGCAAGTTAGCATACCGACAGAAATGTTCCAAAATGCCATTATGCCCCAAACAAGGAAAGGCAATGTGTTTCAGTCCTTGTTTAATGTTGAATCCTCACAAATGACACTTTGCCAAAGGTCAAGTCTTATAAAGATTCATTCCTTCTCCATTGTCATTATATTTCTGTATCTCAGTTTGTGTTTTAACAACTGAGGATTGTTCTGTATTAACATCAGTCAGTACAAATCTTACCACCAACATCCAGATTTGATTTAAAAACTCTTTGCCAGACTCCAGCCTGTGAGGTGCATGCAGGAAACATCAACTGTAGACACCGACTGCACTGATTCCCGGAAGAACACATACAGTTGCTGCAGAAAGAGTCTAGAGGAAATTGGCCTGGTAGCAGACCACCTAAACCCCGTCTCAAGGGCCAGAGCACGGAGAGGGTACATCTGTTTCTGAGCTGCTGCTGTGCCATGCAACTAGCAACACCAGCGCAAGTGTGCTGGACAGGAAATGCTAGGAATCTGGGTGAATGAGTGCAGGGATGTGGAGGATGGTTTAGACCCAATACGGCCTGTTGCAGGGCGGGACATCCTACAGCAGGTGGACAGGAACAGGGAATTTATTGACGTTTCTGGTTGGCAGTGATTTAGTGCCTTCGAATGGACCCTGCTGAGCTGTGTGCTCTAGAAAGACTTTGCCATCACACAAAGATGTTTTCAGTTGAGCCTGAAGGAGAAAAAGCCTCACAGTCTAAATGCTGGCAGATGGTGTGAGGGGCGAAAACACCTCGAGGAGGGTCATGACACACATATGCCGTATGTTCAGTCAAAGAGTTCCTTTAGCCACACAACTGTGAGCTTCACCCGTAGACAGCAGAGGCCCTGAGTGTTTCAGCATGCGATAAACCTCCGGACGCTGGGAGAGGGCAACTGTTAGAGTCATTTGTTCCTTTTATTTGTCTTTGTGTGTCTGTTAGGGGATCTGTGTGAGGAGGTTATTGACCCCTGTCTGCCCGGGTTTGACCTCTGCCAACACGACTCCAAGTGTGTTCTCCTCAGTAAGGGCTACAGGTGAGTGTTTGAGCTCCTCTACTCAGAACTTCACAGGAAAGACTGCGTGACCTGCCTGTGCTGCCTGCAATAGAGTTCAACAGTCGGCTTCCAAAAGTAAAAACTCCATTCATTTTCTCCATACGGAAAGGGATTTTTAACAATAAACTGATAAAGCATTAAAGACAGACCAGTTGTGAGCTCTGAGGATGTATGATTTTCTTCAACGCAACTGTTTGCATTAATTCAACTTACTTTTAAATTAACTGTTTAATAGCAGAATTTGTGATGGAAAAACTACCCATGATGCTGTACAGAAAATTCCTCCAATCATCTTAAGAGATCTTTAGCTCCGCCCACTCCCATTAAAAGCGCTGCAAATGACATAATCGACTCTGTCTCCCTGCATTCTCAAAATAAATAAATAAATATATATACATGTCATTACTATGCAGACAACCATAAATTAAACTATAAACTATAAATTAATAAATTATAAATTAATAGTTTATATATTTCCTTCATTTAAATTCATTTGGCAATGCTTTATGGAATTGTAGTTCTATCACTCACTAAGACTGAAAAGGACATAGTCTTGAAACTTTGTCTTTTTGTCCGATTTTCATATACTTATTATTTTATTACTTTTTTCATATACTTTTATACTTTCATATACTCGTTTGGTTCATGGCTTATAACACTTAAACAAAGACCTTTTTTAAAATACTTATGGGAAAAATACTTCCAGAACCAATGTTGCTGAAAAACGCCTCAGGTTACGTATGTAACCCTAGTTCCTCGAGGGAACGAGACGCTGCGTCGAAAACGCTAGGGGAACGCCCTTCAGCGTGACGGGCTCTGAACCTCGTGTGTAATCAGACCAATAGATGGGCGAGACATCATGGGCGGGTGACGTAATGACCAGGCAGCTATAAAAGCACGTGCGGTGAGACCAGCGTCAGCTTTCTGTCCCTGCGGAGAAACGGGCCTGCAAGAACTTCAGCACTGTACCAAGCGGGCAGTTAACTGGGTCTAGCTGGAGGTCTCCGCACCAAGAAGTGAAAAGTTTCCACTTCAAGGCGTACAGTTTCCTCGTGGAGGGAGCTCTGGATTGGAGGATGGTCTCAACAACCTCAGTTGAGAGA